ATTAGACTACATTTTCATTTTTAAATTTTTTGGGGACCACACAAGATTGAATCTTGTCGCCCGCCCCTAAATCTAGCAATATCAATCCTATCATGAGTCGGCATTCATCACGCGTCGCGGTTGGTAACCGTACAGGACCATTGCCTTCGGGTGCAGGCAAAAGGGCGGCTTAGCCTGCACGAAGCAGCTATAGCTGCTGCTGAGCTATAGCTGCCGCTGCACCCGGGTGGTTCGTGCCGCACATGATCTTGTCTCTGGATTCGCCCGATTATCAGTGATTTTCGCCCATGTTTCTGATCCATGAAGTGCTCATACCTTGGGTGGGTTGTGCACGGCAGTGCCTTCCTCCGTTTCGCCTCAGAGATCTCTCCACGCAGCCCTAATCCCTCTCTCGTTGCAGGGAGACGCAGGACAGGTAGGCAAGATTCTACGGAAGATACCACCCCTCTGGCGGACTTTACGCTCCGAGGTCCGTCGCGGGTGCGATCCCTTTCACCTTTTCAACGCCACTATACTTTAGAGGTGTCCACGACGATTCTATAGAGGGCTGCCCTAATTTTGGATCGCAACTACAGCCGGAGCTATTGAGAAACTTCGGTTGGTCGCTATGGTGAAGGCCAGCTGCGAGGGGTTCCGTGAGTCATTGGTCGAGAACAAAAAAAAGAAAAATGGGGTGTACGGAGCCCCTTGCAACCCGGGTGTTATTAAAAAGAAGCTCAACGAGCAGAAACGGGTGGGAGGGGGGGTTCATGTGGTTCTCTGCCATTCGCGTTGCCTCCAGCTCTCCGAGAAGTTGACCCGTACAACAGACAACCAGCAGCCTCTGTTGTCCTCTGGTCGTGTAGGGCCTGTGTCGAAGGAGGAGCCTCTCCATATTATTCCCCAGCTCGTTGTGGGCACTGGTTTGTCGTTCGTTCGCTGAGATAGGAGCCCTCCAGCCTGAAATCAGCCGTACTTTGTTCTACAGCACTCGTCGGCGAGACGGCCCGTCTTCCGAGGAGGCACTTGTGGGGCCGCGCCTACCATGGTGAGAGGCGACGCTTAGTTGGACACACGCCAAAGACCGAGCCACTCGCCAGACCAGTGCTGCAAAAGCTGTGTGTTTACACATGTGAACTCTGGGCGGGGTCTGCTGTGTTGTTGGTGTGCCGGGGGGGGTGAGGTTTTGACAAATCTCTGTGGTGCAAACCGCTGCTGCTGTGGAAAGCCGCTCAACGCACGTTTCAAACCCACGCGGTGGGTTTGTGTTACATGTCGCTGCTGGGCATACAGCAGCAGGTCATGGACCACATGCCAAGGGAGCACAGCAATGGCCTCAAAAGTACCCGAGAGCCTGCGGTATGTGTTTTCTCGAGTTCGGAGGGCAAGGCGACGTATTGTGTAGCACAGCCGCGTACGAAGATGTCGCATCCTCTGAACAGTAAAAAATGTCGGCGGATGAATGTCTTGGACTCTTTTCTTGGAGATGGATGTCATATTAAGAAGAAAAAAAAAATAGTATTCACACCCCGTTTGCAGTGCAATAGGGGACCCACGCTGGGAGGTGGGAGGGATGATGCTCCACGCGTCCTGGCCGTTTTCCCACCAGCCCAAATGATTCCTTGAGTCAGGCCTAGGATTGTCGTGAATGGGCACACGCGTTGACTTTCAGATCACAACATATTCTGTGTGCGATTACATTGTAGCAACGGGTTGTTGGCTCGCTTTCAAACGTCATCATGGAACCACTCAAACATGTGTCTTGCGTCTTGAGTCTTGAGAGCCTTTTTGGGGTTATTTGGTTGGCTTGTGGCCACGGAAGGACGGCGTTCGCGTCTTTTGGACCAGCACGGGCGTTTGAAGGTACTGAACGGAAACCGGAACGATCTTCAATGTGAAGACAACAACATCAACATCAACATCAACAACAACAACAGCAGCAAGCAGTAGTATTATCTAGATGATATTGAGCACAGGCACCGCGGTGTGGATGTGGATTAGGCAGTGGCAGCACACAAGCCTAAGCCTGCCGGGGTCTTGCCGGCCGCCCCACGAAAGCACAGTGCGTTGTAGTCCCATCACCGATTGTACAACACCAGTCTAGATGATTCAAAATAGGCAGCAAGGTGGATGTGGATAAGATAGTGGCAGCACACGAAGCCTATGCCTGCCGGGGTGTTGTCAGCCGCCGCACGGAAGCACTGCGCGTTGTAAAGGCTTGCGCCCGAGCGTCGGGAACACCCGTTCTCCGCCTCTTTCAGCAGTTTTGGGATTGCTTTCGCCAATACTCATGCACGTGTGTGTTGTCGTTGTCGTGCAATCATTTAGCTTTATGCGGCCTCAGCAACACTGCGTTTAGCTGAGTCGAAGGCATAGGTGCCGTGGTGTTTTGTGTATTCTATCATGTCATACATTCACATCCTGACCACCCGGGCCTGGCTGCTGCTGCTGTGCTGCTACACCGCTCCTCTTTTCCAGTCAACCATTGAACCCAAGGCTGTGCGCAGCCGATCAAAATCCCCGACCAGGTCTCCGCTCGCTCGGACGACCTCCAAAACCAACCTTGTCATCGACACGCAGGTACCTACAGTACGAAACACATATTTCAATGCATATCATACATATATTATGCATGCTGAAGTTGGGATGTTTTTTTTTCCTTAGTACCAGTAACATCACAACAAATCCATGTCCATCCTTTTTAGACGATCAACACAGAATCACAGAGAGGCTACCCGCTACGAGATAATAGACACCACAAACGAAACTTTTTTTGCATTACTGTAGTGAGGGGCAAGTCGCCACTTCGTGCATGGTGCTCTTCATGGTGTTTTGTTGCTGCCCGCACTGCTTGTTCACAGACGTGCTGAGGACTTCGTACGCGATAGGATAGAAATCCTTCTTGTGTTTGCATCGACCGCTCTGATCGGCTTGCCCCTTGTCACAAATTCATGTCAGCATTGATTGCTCTGGCCGGCTTACCCCTTACCACAAGGACAAAAACGCCTTGAAAGTAAGACGTTTTTTGTGTTGGACCGCTTCTGCGCCCCCGACCCCCACGTCTCCGCCCCCGAAACACTAGCTGAAGGCAACACAGCAGAAATACCATTGCCATTTTTTTGAGGCCTCAGGCGTGTCTTTGTCGGCCTCATGCGAACGCGAAAACTCTTGTATAGTCGTACGATACATGCATCTGTAGCACCGAACTTCATTTTTTGGGATGATAGCTGAGGTCGTTGACTGGGTTGTTGCGGCACCCCGGCATGTGCTGAGACTGGTCCCCCTGTTTCGTCCTACCGACCGAAGTCTAGGGACGGGCTATGCTCACGACCTACAACAACGCCATCGATTACTATTGTGCTTCGCAACGGAAGGACTTTAGGTGTAGTTTCATTGCACGTTGTACGACCTTCCCGTTCAACAATCAATCTGCCATCGAGACAGTGAACCGTCAATAATCCCTCATCGTGTTGGAAATCCAAGGCTGGGCATGACGCCGCGGACAAAGGAGAACCGCTGATATCGCCGGCGAGGTTCAGCCCCATCACCGTGGGGAAGCGGCTGCTCAAGCCCTCCTCCCCCCGCAAGATCACGATGAGGCCGGTGGTAAAGGTGGGCATGGTTGGTATGTATGCGATGTGTTGGCGGCAACATGAAAAAGAAGAGCCATGGTGGTGAATTATGTTTTTTGGTCTCAGTAGCAGTTGGTTATCTTGTTGGTTTGGTATTGGCAAGCTGGGCTATATTGTCTTTCCGAACGTGCGAGTTGAGAAAAGTTGAGAAAAGATGTGCCTTGGCTGGTTCCACGGCAGACTATTTAGTGCGAACTGCCGTCGACGACAGACGAGGACAACGGCAACGGCAACGGTAATGTGAGCAGAACAAGGACGACACGACACGACAAAGGCATTGTACCAACCCCCCGCCGCCACAATCATGACGCCGTCGTATGCACCTGCAGAAGGAGAGCATGCTGTCTAGGTACTTTTCCCAGAGCCTGCCAGCGAAGCTCTCGGCGGTTCTCTCTGTCGTGTCCATCGCCGTCGCTGCAGCCCTCTTTTTCGGGTGAGACAATATTTGCTGTTGCTGTTGTCGTCGTCGTTGATCATGCGGCTGTTGTTTATGTTGACTGCCATTGTTTCTTGGCTATTGTTGCTGGTTATGATGATGCTGTTTTTGCACCCTGAAGGATGTCGTTGTCGTAGTTGTTGTTGTCGTTGTCTTCCTCGTTGGTCGTGGAGTTGTTGTCGATGTTGGCTGTTATTTTTGCTCATGTTACTGCTGTTTTGTGCCGTGTCGGATGTTGTCATCGCAGTTGTTGTTGTTGTTGTCTTCGTCGTTGGACGTGAGGCTCTTGGTGGTAAGAGGCGTGTAAATCATATGAACGGGCATGAACGGGGGTGATATATAGGAGAGGTACAGCTGGTGCTGGGAAGCTAGAACCGCCGGCAAGTGGAGCGCTCTATTTGCTGGTCGATTTTCTCTTGCCGTACGCTGCCAATGCCGTGGGTCACCAGCAGCTTTTCAAGATCGAGGCCTGTCCCTGCGCGTTGAAGCCCGTCCAAGGGGAGGGTTCTGGGCAATCGGCAGAAATGACGTTTTTGACCTGAAAAAGACAACGATCACAACAGCAGTCTTGGCTTCGCGCCCTCCCCTGTTGTTTCGGAATATTTTTGAGTTGTAATGGAGGTTCTGGGTAAGCATCAGAAGAAAGAATGTGGTCTGGAAAGACAACGATCACAACAGCAATCTTGGCCTCGCGCCCCCCCTGGTGTTTCGGAACAGTTTTGAGTCTCAAGAGAGATTCTGGATAAGCGTCAGAAAACATTTTTTGGTCGGAGGAAAAGACGACGATCACAACAGCCATTCTTGGCTTCACCCCCTACCTGTTTCTTCGGATTTTTGTTTTTCCTGCTCCAGGGAGGGTGATGGTCCCAAGCTGGTGAAGCGTGATGCCCCCCTCTTCCCGGGGGATCGATTGAAGGGCGGCCAGTACATTTCGTTCTGCACGAGCATCATCGCCACCGGGTGCAAGCCCAAGTACTTCGAGGTGCGTCCAAGAAACAATGTAAAGCGGGTAGAAAGACAAAACGAACTTCACAAAACGTACATAGACGAAAGATGCGCACTGCCACCCTGTGCTAATGATACCCAAGAAATGCAAAGCGTAAAAAATAAATAAATGCAACGATCGAAACGACGACAAAACACCCACACTAATGCCGTCCGTGTAGAGTACTACCAACGGAGGATTTGAGACCGTTCGACGGTTACCTCCCTCAAGATGGCACCCGGTCAAGTTCAACCCGCGCTGTTTCTTAGCCGTTCGAGGGCCTGAGCCTGTCGCCCCATCACACCAAACCACAACGACCATGGCAACAGCTACCATTCTACAGTACCTACCGTGTGAGTCTTCGTTCAGTCTTGCACGTGCATATTCAGACATTCAAGGCAACCCTTCTTGCGCTTGTACTCGCGTGCTCTGGAGCAGCTAGGTCGCGATGGCTCTCTCGGAGTATACGGCGGGAAGTCACCGTACGCGCAGAAGGCCAAGCTGTGGACAGCGGGCACGGGCGCCAAGGGCGGGGGGGGGAAGGAGGCGTCGTACGAGCTGGTGTACAGCGGGGACAGGGTGGTTCTCAACAAGGACGGCAAGGTGTGAACAAGAACGAAAGTGAAACACATTTTACATACTTATTATTAAAAGTGTTGTGCCCTCCTTGTTTTTCCAACCTCATTTAAGTGAAATTGCTAACAACTGTTGTAGCCTTCCATTCTGCCCAGCTAAGTCGTGCACATTTCTCTCCCCTTTTCCGTAATGGGGGAAGACATGTATGACTCTTGCATGCTGCCTGGCTTTGCTTGCGGCTGGCCGCGCGGGGCGGTCCTCCGTTGGTTCTGATTCGACGGTGCCCCTATGCGGCTAACAGATAGAGAGAGCCCAACGGCTGCGATATTTCGCAGGTTGCGGCTCGTTCATTTAAGGCAGAGCCTGCCGTAAGGGAGCACAATCCATGCGATTCACTCGCTTTTTTTTTTTCCTGCTTACCTCAGGTGAAATGGTCATCTTCGGTGAAGAGCTTGCCTAAGAACATGCGGCCCTGGCCGCTCGCGCAATAAGCTATGTACAACCGAGCGTAGTCTGGTACTTCAGACTTTCCCGTGCTGTGCAGTCGGAGCCCCCCGGTTGCTAGCGCTGCGGAAGAATACCTTGGGTGACGTAAGATACCAACCCCTATTGGATCGTTTTTTTTTTTGTCTTGTTCTTGTCTACCAAAGAACACAATAAATCCATCTCTTCCACAGGTAAGAGTTTTTTTTGTTTTCAAAGCTCGATTTTCTCCACAACGAAGAGGGTGCATGAGTGAAACGACAAGTTTTCGGAAAGCCCAGCTCCAACGCCGCCATTTTCGGCGCTGCACTCTTTCTGCTGTGGAGAAATCGAAGCTTGAAAATCGGTCCAGGGTGTATCGTGTCTTGTCTCATGTCACCTACGGTACCCTTTTGCTGGTGTGGGAGGCAGGGACGGTTTTGGCGGGGCAAAGGTAGCAGCACCTCGTGTACCCGAAGTAAAGATAGATTTGGATGCGGGCCATACAGTCATGTTGTTGCACGATCGATGCAGAATGAAGGGATAGAGGAGTGGGGGGTGGGGAACAGTTTACGAGGAGGTGCGTGCGTAGGAAACCTAGGGTGCTCCCCCCTTTCACAGGTGCGAGAGAAACCAATTGTACAGCTGGTAAACGAAAGAGACAAAGGATCCATCCCGCTTGGACTCCGCGGAAAGGGAGACCTGATATCATGTACTTGTATTCACCTCGTGGGGGGAGTGTACTACTCGCAGCCGTGCACGCCGCAGTCATCAGACCACAGACCTCGCACCCCTACAATGCTGGGACGGAGCGATATGCCGGGTTTTCGACGGCCCGGCCCTGGCTACGTTTCACAAGGAACGATGAAGTTGGCCGTCATCTTGGCGTTTGCTGAGCCAAACCAGGTCTGTGGGCGGGGGAGTCTTGTCTGGTCCGGACTTAGCGGAATCGGAATATCTGTTGGTGGTCACAGCTTGGGTCTCTGTAACTAGCTGATGTTGGGTGCTAGGCGCCCACCTTGCACCACTTTTTGTTGTATGCAGGACGGCACCACAGCTGCTGCTGCTGCTGTGTGTGCGTTTGGTTTGTCTTGCGATGAAAGCATCGACTCTACAGGGCGTCGAAACGGTGTATCGAACCTTTTCCCAACATTGTTGTCCTCCGTTGTTTCGCAATGGCCTAGGGTAGTTGAGATGGGGTGCTCAAAAGGTCGATTTCTTTCTCAGAGCCACTATCTGACAAAGGGGGGAGAGGTGTGCGCGTGTAACATATGACGGCTGTGGTCCTGTAAAAAAAGCGGTGTGTACTGGTGATCTGTTGTGGTGTTTAGACAGCGGTGGGAGAGGAGGGCGTGGTAGGAATTGAAAGATAACGGCACCACTCCGGAGTAGTAGGTAGGGAGGGGGGGCGGATGCAACTAGGTGTGTTGTTGCTGTTGCGGGGAATAATAGTGACAAGATTCCACCTCGCATTGGGTGGTCCTGGGAACTGTGCAGGAGCGACTAGTGGGAGGAACGCTAGATGTGCTTGGAGAGCGTCACCTATTATTTATTTTTTACTCTCGTCGTGCCAGCGACTGGTGGTGTTCATTCACGCGAGGAGGTTGTTCAAGTGAACGCAACTAACACTGATGATCGGATGCGAGAGTTAACGCACCCATCGGGGTTTTGGCACCCTTCGTTGCAATCGCACAGGCGGGGTGCGCCAACATAGCAAGAACGGCGTGAATCAATCCGACTTCCGCGCCGGGACAATCGTTTTCTTAGGCGAACAACATTTAGAACCCACCCCCGCTTGTGGCATGCATAAGATTGCGTGCTACCGCAAGAAAGTGGCACAAGTCCACTGTCAAGACCAGCGGTCGTGAATGCATCTGTGCCTTGCTATACGGATTCCCTGTACCGCAGATTATGCTGGCACCAGTTAGCCACCGCGGTCTTACTCCTCCTCATCACACCCCGGATGGCCTGCCTACTGCACACCACGTATTTTAGTAGCCCCGTGTAAGGCTGTGGCCACCTTGTACACGACATCGCACCTCCTCCTAATAACGGAGAGATACCGCAACCCGACTGGGGGTGCCCTCGAAATCCTATGTTAGAAATAAATAATTGAGTTGTATTTCCGCATACTGGTACATGCTATTCGGGGTCTTGGCACCGATCCGGGCCAGGCAATGACTGAATGAATGGATGGGTTCGAACACGAGCGAGCTCGATCGCACCCACACTCACTCGCCGCATGTTTCCGGTACCACCGCAGATATTTTAATTTAATAGCTACAAAGAAGAGGGGACTACATACGCTGCATCAAACACTTGCTGTGCGCGCCACATCTCTGAGATCATCCTGCTGATGAGGACCTAAAAGGACGAATTAATTCACAACAACGAGTTCATTCAGAAGAGGTCATCACAATGAGGTTCAATGTATCTTCATGCATGCATCCAAAAACAGCAGTAGACGTGATGAATGTTCATTGCACACAGGTCGTTCGCATTGATGGGACGAAAAAGTCGTGAGTGCACGCACCTATACATAGCTTTGGGTGGACGTATCACCATACACAAACCAACTCAGAAAACCATTCGCAAGGTGGCGCAACGATGTGAATCGCAGACCAAGTTCGCTCCCGCACCTTTCCTTCCTTCCAGGGAACCAAGTACCCCCCGCCATATTCACCTTTGCGAGCCCCCGTGGAAATCAACATCATCGTGCATGCCATGTCCCGCTACAAGCAGGTAGCAGTCTCCGTACACAGCAGCACAAACAGCCGTATGCAGGCACTTCGGACGAGCGTGCTGGCTCAAGGCTCTCTGCAGGCGGTCCGAGGAGGGACCCGAGCATCCACGGGGCGAGGATGGTACCAGCGGTACCAACGCATGGGGCCGGACGCCTTCCGCAAAGCCAGAGCTCCCAACCCCTTCGACTGGGACACACCAACAGCACCGCCAGCACCAGAGACCGGGGCGGAAGAACGACAGAAGGAAGGGAGCGGCAGGAGACGGCCACGACGGCGGGCCTTCTTCGACATGAGCGTGGACGGCGTGCCCGCGGGGCGCGTGGAGTTTGAGCTGGCAAGCGACCTGCTGCCCGTGACGAGCGAGAACTTCTTGCGGCTGTGCAACGGCGTTACCGTCGCGTCTGCAGCCGGCGAGGCAACCCTGCTGCGACGACAAGAGCAGGCGGGGGGCGGGGCGGCGGAGGAGGAGGAAGCAGTTGAAGAGAAGGAGGAAGAGGAGGAGCTTGGGTACAAGGGCACCGTGGTGCGTGCGGCTTCCGGCACACTTCTTTCTTTTTCCTTGCAAATGACGTTGTATACCACCCCCCGTGGTACGAATGATGCTGGCCCTTGTGCCTGCACAGATGTTACTCCGTATGCATCTGTACAGTTGGTAGGGTGCCGAAAGTGGGTCATCGTATCTCGATCACTTGGGGATAGCCTATACTGTTGTAGTTTGGAAGACATCTAGGGCCAAGATCAAATATTTACATAAATTATGGATACGATTCAGGTCAACGCCGATGTGTTCAAGTCCTCACGGAGATGACTCATGCCCACAACGAAGAGTTGGGACAAACCCTCTAAATCCTAAATCCATAACACGAAGTAGTTACTACGGCGCCGTGTGCACGTGTGCACATGGGTGCGTGTATGCATGCAGGAGTGTTTTTTCAGCTGTAGCATAATCGTATGAACGATGTAGCCGATTAGCTCCAGATTGTAAGTAGCTGCTGTATCCCAGCTCCACCTGCCAAACAACAATCAACGCGGGTCGTACACACACCGTTTATGTATTTAATTTGGCGCAGCCTGTTGTGCGTGAGCAACTCATGTTTCGGGCTCTCCCCAACCACCAAGTGTCAAAACAAAATGTGCAAGTAGATGCGTGTTTCGTTTGAGCTCGATCAGGTTTTGCGGCATCATGAACAACTCGCTCTGCTCGTGTCTACCGCCCTCGATGCACATCTTACCCTCCCCCCGCGGCTCAACTACCGTTCGCGGCGCCCCTCTTAAGCGTAGACAAGGAGAACACGCGGATTGAAGTTCTGGAAGTGCTGCCCCCTGCCCATTTTTGTCGCGCCGAATAGACGAGATGCTCGATCCGGAATGGGATGGTTGAAAAAATGTCAGACTCCCCCCCGCCCCCCGTTTTCGAGTCACCTTCCGCGAAGTAACAGGAAGGACTGATAAACCATCGACGATCGGTCCTGCTTCGTCCTCTCGAGGATGTGTGGCCAATGGCCTATAACCGCTAAGACATGCAAAACATAAGAGCACCCCGCCCCTCCGTTTTATTGCCACTTTTGGCAAAGTAGGAAGGAGGAACGATTGGCCATCGGTGATCGGTCCTGTGGCAACAATGCTCCGTCTTCTTGAAGCCGACCGCGGTCAATGGTCTAACCGCTAAGGCAGGCAAAACATGAAAGAGTACTCCCGCCGCACACTCCCGGCACCTCATGACTCCTGCAGATCCATCGGGTTGTCACCGGCACCGGCATCATGGGTGGCGACGTGGAGGGCTACGGAGGAAAGCGGAGCCACTCCGCCTTCAACGGCATGCGTTTCTTCCCAGACGAGGCGTTTCTCATCCCACATACGTAAGTCGCCCGTAAGGGGCTGTCTTTCTCGAGACGCTGGTGTGGTACGGGGGGGGGGTGAACACGCCTCCTCATTTTTTTCCGTCCCAATCGCGACGCGACTTTCTTCTCTCTCTCCCTGCGGCTTGCAATCAGCTCACGGCGTTGTGTTTCTTGCCTGTGTTCCAGTTACAATTTGCAAGAATTGCTGTCGGTTTTTACTGACCCGTGCTGTGTTTGCGTAGTTACTGTTTTTATGAGAAGCCCTTCCGTATTCCAGTGGCGTTGTACCGATGTCTGTCTTTCTTTTATTATCCGCACATGACGGCACGGAAAAGTGTTTCTGGACCTCCTGAATAGCAACCCAACATCACGCACTGGAAATGCTGTTGGAATGGAAAGTATTCACCAGTAGGTAGCACAAGAGACGCTGCTACCTTCGCTGTAGCATAGGAAACGCGTAAACGACACTCCAGTTGTGGTGATCTCCACCTCTACTTAATTCCATCACTTGTTGTTTGTTTTCCTGTCGTTTTTCCCTGTTTTTTTTTCTCTCATTTTTTTTTGTTTTTATCTCTTCGAACAACGACACAGCGCGCCCGGCCTGCTCACGATGGCCAACTCCGGGCTGCACACCAACGGCTCGCAGTTCTACATCACCACGGAGGCGGCGGGGCATCTGGACGGACGATCAGTAGCTTTCGGGAGGGTGACCAAGGGGCTGGAGGTGGTGAGGGCCGTCTACGGCATGTACAGCATCAGGGGCAAGCCGGTTTCGGAGATCACGATCGAAAAATGCGGCGAGATTTGAATTTGACTTGGCTTGTTCCGGAGATTTCGGTCCCAAAATGCGGCGAAATTTGACTTTGACTCGACTTGACTTTTACCTCTGTTCGAATTTCACGATCCCAAGGACCCGGTGGGGAAAGATGACAATTTTGGTGCAACAGAGTCTTCGGCTGTTTTTTTGTTATAACGATCGGGAAAAGGTCCGGCGATGACGTCGAGGTCTTTTTCCGTGTCGTTTCCACTATTCCGACTTTGATCCTCTCCCTATTGTGGCTTTTTATTTTCCTCAAATGTATTGTCGAAAGTCGAGAAGCGAGACTCAGATAGCAGCGCCGTGTTTTTTTTTTCCTTCGGAGAGTACGTCCGGTTCGTTGCAATTGGGCCAGAAGGTGCCTTGAACATTTTTGCTTTTCTGCTTTGGCTTTACGCTGGTGTGGGGCGACCCGCGGGTATGTTGGAGACACAATGCCTCGCTTATTCGTGTGTTGGTGGTGTGGAACGGCGGACGTTTGTTGTTGGAGAGGTGGCAAGTAACCGAATTGCGAAATCAAGAGATTAAAAAATCACAACATTTTTCTTTTTTGTTGGGTGGATTCACTTCCTTCCTTCCCTGCTTGCCCGCAACGGGCGACGCTGACGGAACAAAAAATCCACCGCGTGGATCCAATTTTTGACGCCGAGAGCGACACGCGACTTGCCTTTGCGAGATATTCAGGGCGACATGCCGGCGTGTGCCGGCCGTACATTCATTGTAAGGGATGGAGGCTACAGGAGCAAACGACCGCACTTGAGAACTTGAGACCATGTGTGATCTCCATCAAGAACTTGAGGACTCCTGCACCAAAACCTATGAAGCGGCCATTCGCATCATCCTGGGGACTTAATATCCTAGCATCGGGCAAAGCTATTTTGAGGTTAGTCAAGTGCAGGCGCTTACTGTAGTACGGAATAGAGAACGTCTTCGAGTCATGTTAACCAATAACTTTGGGTTGCGTTCGTATGCACAACGACCGACCGTGTCCCCTTTTCCTCACCCCGCTGCCCACTTCTGTCCTGGGAGGGTGGTTTCGGCTGCACAAACCACACACACACACAATGTCGGAGGTAGAGAGGCGTTCACGTTTTATTAGTTGGGGGCGGGTGGGTGGCCGCGTCCTCCCTCCCTTCCTTGAGAGAAAACCCGGGGACGGACGCTTCCGCGCACGCCCAGTGAATGAACCAATCCGCGGCAAGGGACAGTGCTTCGCTCTAGTGTGGGCATGCATGTATCGGTGTCGTTGGGTGGAGCTGCTGCTGCCGTAACCCCGCACGCGCGACGCTCAAACTGTCCCGCCACATTGGACCATCATCATCTTCGCATTGGCAAGCGAGGTCGACGCAGATGAATCAAAGTACGCATCAGTGGACAGGGCGTGTGTCCTTGTTTTTTTTTTGTTATCCCGCTGCAAGACTTACGTCCGTCTTTGCATGATCGGACGTCTTGTTGTCAGTTGTCAGCCGGTTCGATGCCAAACAAAGAGACACGTCGCACATTCTCCGGTACTGGACAGGTTCGCCTGACCTACATAGCTTGGGGGAAAAATGGTCTTGGCGCAGCAAAGCTCCCGGTACTTACAAAGGAGAACCCCCCCCTCCCCCTCCCACTCGCGGCGAGCGTGGAGGGACGGCCGAGAGGGAGTGGGCGGGAATTCACACACACTCATCAGCCCATTGGTTTGCCTTTAATAGCAGCCGTGCGCCTGCTTGTCAGAGACCATCAGGTCATTGTTTTGCCTTTAAAAGCAGACGTGTGCTTGCTTGTCTGAGACCATCAGCTCGGTTTGCCTTAAAAAGCAGACGAATGCTTGTCACGGAGACTACCAGCTCATCTAGCTAAAAGAACAGAACGTACGCTTGCTTGTCAGAGACCACCTCTTCTTAGTTATATAACCATAACGGCGAATGAATGAATACCGTATATGACACAAGATAACACACCCCCTGGACCAATTTTCAATGCTCAATTATGTGACTCTTACTGTTGTTGAGAAATCGAGATTTGAAAGTCGGTCCAGGGGATGTGTTACCTTGTGTCATTTACGGTAGGTTATGCTACAGCTTGACATACAGTTCCCTCGTGACACACACGTGCTCTTCCACTGCCCAATTTACTTAACATTATTGGCCACATCATATGCCGCGAAGGCAGGCATGGCCAACACACGGCGGCGGTGACGGAGGGCAAATCTTCTTCACGGACAGGCAAAAACCCCTCTCCCGCCCCTCTCCCGCCTTTGCCATCGGGATTGGGTTTTCGTCGCTTGGCAACGACGTTGTAAGACAAGCCAACTCACTTCGAGCTCGGCAACCAGGTTACCGTTTTTTTTTTTCACCTCTGTTTTTTTTTTGCAGTAACCATTATCGTGGTCGAGTAGATCATGTTGTGCGGGGTGAAGAACCCTCAGTCCGCGCAAGGGGGATGATCGCACCAAGTTGTGTTAAAATGGTCAAGCACCCTCAAGGCAGTTACACAGTGCTTACAACTGTCTCTGGAAGTGAAAGAACCAGAAAATCAATCAAGTCATACGCAGCTGTCATNGAACACACTTAGCAGGATGCAGCGCATCCTTCATGCGACTCGCCGAACACCTCACGGCGCTTTGCGCTTGGTGATGTGAACGNCCCCCATCTTTCTATCCTCCTCCTCCTGCGTCTCGACTCTTCCTTCTTGCAGTCCCGAGGTGCCGATATGCATACCACACGAAAACTATTTTTGCCCATCGATCAATCTTGGGACCATTACCAGGCAACAAAGGACACCATCCGAACATAATAAATTGTCGGGTAAACAGATCCCGGGAGCTACGTGCCCCCCCAAACCTCTACGCATCAAAACAATCATCATTCCTCTCTCCTCTCTGTGCATAACTTGCCATCACCATACCACATCAAACATCCGGTATAGCAACTG